AGTAGAATAAGCAAGGGCCTGAGTTCAATCCTCGGTTCTGCAAAAAAAGAAAAGAAAGAAAAAGAATATAGACAACCATTTTGAGGAACAGAAAATAGTAGTAATCAAAGGTGAGAAGTAGAGCATAGAGGATGAGAGAACTCTTTCTTTCTGTCTCCAGTTAGTGTGTCTGTCTGTCTCTGTGTCTTGTCTGTGTCTGTATCTCTGTCTGTCTGTCTCTCTGTCTCTGCCTCCGTCTCCCCTCCCCCAACTCAGGACTATCTCTCTCTCACTGTATGTCCCCACCCCAAGCACCAACCCAGGACCTTGTGCTTGCTAGGCAAGCTCTGTGTTGCTTTTTTTAAAATAGTGTTTCAGCATTTTTGTGTGTTAATATGACCAGGAAGATGGGAAACTAACAATGGAGGCAAAATAGGAGAGAATTACTACAGTGATATCCTTTAGCTGGGAAAAGTCTCATATAAGACAGCAGATGCCTTAGACCATAGGCTCTTCCTCCATGGCAGTAGGTGAGAGCGAGCAAATGTTCTCTTTGGTTGCTTGTTTCCCTGTGTTGAAGGAAGCAAGGGAAGAGAGAGAAGATGGTGGTTAGAGGTCGAACTGTCCAAGTGTGCTGGTCTGAGAATGGAAGTGTTAAGTTCCATCACCTCACACCTAACCCTCCTCATGACAGGTGGGTCATTTGTGGTAACAGTTTCTTTCTTCAGGGCGCCATTCCTACCTTTTCTCTTAGACTGTTGTAAGTACAAGGAAATGCCTACCATTGTTTCTGGCCCATAATAGGTGTTTAATAAAAGATCATTCCTTTTTAAATGAATTTTTATTAGTATGCATTTGCAGTACTTGATAATTACATTCATCATGGGAAATTTGCACTTGTGCATATGGCATCTTAATTTTTTTTGTCCTCTTCTCCTTAACCCTACTCCCCCTTCCAACTTAAAAAAGTTCTATTTCTTTTTTTCCCTCTGATCCTTTTTTACAAATCCTTCTTCCCTTCACCCTCCATCTCTTGCCCCCTTTCCATTTAAAAAAAAAGATCTCCCTATTTCTATTATTCTTTATTTTGTTCTTCATTTATATTTTGGTCTTCTCATATAAGAGAAACCAGGTGATATTTAAGTTTTTGTGTCTCATTTATTTCACTTAGCATTATGATTTAAAGTTTCATTTCCTGGCAAATGCCTCAGGTTCATCCTTCTTTATGGTGGAGTAGTACTCCATTGTTTATAAAAACCACATTTTTAAATCCATTCATCTGCTGATGGACACATAGGACACTTCAAGATTTAGCTGTTATAAATTGTGCTGCTGTAAGTATGGGTATACATGGATTACTGCATGTAATAATGATGCCTTTAATCTTTCAGGATGATTCCTAGGGGGGGAATAGCTAGGTCAAATGGAATGCCTATTTTTAGTTTTTTGAGGAATTTCCATACTGATCTCCATAGTGGTTTTTATTAGTTTACATTCCCACCAATGTAGAAGGATTCCTTTTTCAACCACCATGGCCTTGCCAGCATTGTTATTATTTGATTTCTTGATGATGGTCATTCTTTCAGGGATAAGATAGAATCTCAGTGTTGTTTTAATTTGCATTTTTCTAATGGTCAATGGTATTGAACATTTTTTTCATGTATTTATTTGCCATCTATATTTCTGAGAAGTGTCTATTCCTTTCATTTGCCTATTTTTTGACTGGATCTCTTATTTCAGGGGTCCAGATATTAGTCCTCTATCTGAGGAATAGCTAGCAAAAAACTTCCCACTCTGTATCTTTATTCTGTTGCTCTTTTCTTTGCTGTGCAAAAGCTTTTTAATTTAACATGATCCCATTTGTTGATTCTCAGTGTTACTTCTTGTGCTATTGGGGTTCTGTTTATTTGTTTTTATTTTTTAACCCTTTTTATTTATGTATTTGCTGCAGGGTCTTGCTATGCAGCTCGGACCATAATAATCCTCCTGTCTTAGCCTTCCTGGTGCTGGGATTGTAGGCGTGTGCAAGCATGCTTGACTGGTTCAGCACACCCGGGACAGGGCGATGCGGCCCGGGGTACCGGAGCCTGAACCCAGGTCCTGGTGCTCATCAGGCAGCTAGACTGTGTGCTGAGCCATTGCCTGGCCCTGGGGTTCTCTTTAGAACGTCCTTGCCTAAGCCTTTGTCTTTGAGAGTTTTACTTGTTTTATTTTCCAGATTACATGTTTCTGTTTTAACGTTTAGATTTTTTTGATCTATTTTGATTTTAGTTTAGTAGCTGGTTAGATATATGCATCTAGACTCTAGACCCATGTTCTCTGCATGAGAATATCCGTTTTTCCCAGCACCATTTATCAAAGAGACTGTCTTTCCTCCAGTGTGTCTTTTTGGTTCCTTTATTAAAGGTTAGTTGAAGGACCATTCCTTTTAGTAGTCATAAAATTGTTACTACATTATAGGTAGAGAAGTCTGTCCATCTTTCTTTCTCTCTTTTTCCATCCTGCCTTTCTTCTTTCCTTCTTTTTTTTGAGACAGCTTCTTGCTACGCAGTTTAGGCTGGCCCTGCCCTCACAGTGTAGTCTAGGCTAGCCATGAAATCACAGCAATCCTCCTGCCACAGCCTCCCAAGTGCTGGGATCACAGGTGTATGTCACCATGCCTGGTGAAAAGTACTTCTTACATTTAAAGTATCTCTAAAGTTTAATTAGATTAAAATTAATTAGATTAGAATCTAATTTTATATGTGCATTCAGTACATTGTTTAGGCTTACTTATACAGAATCTGGAATTATATAGTCAACTATAACTTTTTTTTTTTTTTCTCAGAACAGGGAATTGAACTCAGGCTCTTGCTCTTGCCAGGCAAGCGCTTATTCTACTGAGCCATCTCCCTGGCCCAACTATAACATTTTTAAAAAGGATTAGAAATAGTGGTCCATCCTTACCTACAATTTTTGCATTCCATGGTTTCAGTTACCTATAGTCCTACCTCATTCAGAAAAGATCAAATGAAAAATTTTAGAAATAAACAATTCCTAAGCTTTAAATAACTTTATTGAAGTGTATTGCTAATTTTTTTTTTTTTTTTAATCCCAAGACTCTAAGCTCAGGACCTTGTGCTTTCCAGATAGGCTCTGTGCCACTGAGTTATCTCTCTGGTCAAATTGTCTTATTTTACTATTAGTGGTTTGTTTGTTTTTTTTTTAAGAAGAGGTTTAATGTGGTTTGTGTGTTGTTACTCTTTTACAAGCCTAATTGATTAAATTAACTATTGTAGGCATGTATGTGTAGGAAAAAACGTAGCCTACTCGACTTCTGAGACACATTATGTGAAATCTATTGTTAGATAATTTTGCTGTCCAAATATAGAGTGTACACAAACTAATGTGGCTCTGTGTCACAGCATGATGCAGTCATCTGGCACCACTGTAGTGTACGCAGTCCATTATTGACTGGAAATGTCATCATGTGGTGTATGATTGCATACTTAGGTCCAAACCTTACTATGTGCAACGTTTCTAGCCTCCACTGAGATTTTTGAGACATTTTCTCCATGGATAAAGAGGGGCTGTTGCATTTCCTTTTGCTGTTCCAGTTGAATCTGTAGTGTGTTGCTTGATAAATTTGATTCATTTGTGTGTTGAAAAGATAGTTTTAGTAGTACCAGGGATTGAACTCAGGACCTTGTGCTTGCCAAACAGGCACTTATGCCGCTGAGCTAGATCCCCAGCCCCTAAGTTACATTTTTAGAAGGTTCTGAGTTTTAGAGTTCTCTTGATCCCTCAGTTTAATTTTGACTGTGCTCAAGAGTAGAATGAAGGGTTAGTGAGGTAGCCCAATGGCCTAAACACCTGCTTAGGCAAGCACAGGGACAAGGGCTTAATCCCTGACACCACATGCCATGCTGGCCCCACCTCTGGGTGTAATGAGCAGGTGAACAAGTCTGGGCATGGTGGCACACACCTGTAATCCCGCTGCTGAAGAGGCTGAAAAACAGTAGGATCCCTCCAAGTCCAGTCTGCATAGTGAGACCCTGTACAAAATGCATAAATTAAAAAAGAAAAGAGTAGAATGAAGTTGAACTTATTTATGGTGGATTTTAAAATCTCAGATTGATTTATTTAAAAGATTTAAGTATAGACAGTTTCTAATATTTACAAGATAAAGTAAGCCCTATGAACTTATGTTCTACCACCTTGATTGATTTAGAGAATATTTTAGAAGATATGGAACTTAATTCACTAATAAAGAGTTGAAGATTCTGATATAATCATCATAATTTATTACTTTATTCATGAAACAAAATTTATTGAGGAGAGTGCAAATTCTAGCACTGTTAACTTGCTAGCTGTGTGGCCTACAGCAAATTAAAATATTCTGAGCCTTGTTTCCACATTGACAAAATTGACTTAATGCCCAAAATTTACCTCATAGGCTTGTTATGAGGATTAAGTGAGATATGTTGGCATTAACAGTAAATATTACCTACTCTTTCTATAAATACCCTTTTTCTTTGTGAGTATCTCTGTCATCCATATTTTGTGATAAGTGCAGTTGGAGAATGTGAAAGTATTAAGATGGGGAATTTGAAATCAAAGAACTAGAATTCCAAAATCACATGATACTAGGGCATGGAAGGATCTTCAGTATTACCTAGTTCGACAAGCCCTACAAAGTTGAGTGACTCATTCAGGATCACACAGCCAGCAGTTGGTGACAAAGCTAGGTCAAAGCTCAGGCATCCTAAACATGAATACTTTCTCATAGAATGTTCTGTTGCTGTGTCTCACTCTTTCTCCTCCTTTAAACCCTAGTTATCCTGACTTTGACAGTCCTGTCCTATATCCTCTGCCCTGTCAGTGCAATCATTGGAATATACGTGAGGCTTTTTACAAAACGCATCAGATCTAAACATATTCCTGCATTCTCCCTTCTTCAGAGTCCAAAGAAGACATTGTAGAGAAGTGGACAAGCTGTCTATGTGTAATCACAACGATGTTTTTATTTCCTTGCTTTGCAGCCCAGGAGTTGAAGTCACTATTTGAAAAAAAATCACTCAAAGAGAAACCCCCAAGTTCTGGAAAACAGTCCATATTATCTGTCCGCCTGGAGCAGTGCCCTCTGCAGCTGAACAACCCCTTTAATGAGTATTCCAAATTTGATGGCAAGGTAAGTTTAAAAAATGAGACTGTCCTTTTAAATACCAACAACTGAGTGGAAGTATTGGTTGTTGTTAGATGTAGGATTTCAAAAGTGCCTCAGTAATTACAGAATGTCACTCACATTTCTAAAATTTATAGATATGAAAAGGTAAGAATTTGGGCTCAGTGTTGTTTTTACTGTAATTGGGAAGATTAAAACAATCCTGAGATCTCAGTGTCTGTACTTATAGATACTATATATTTTTAAGAGAGGGAGAGTACATACTTACTTGTATTTAAATATACTTGAGATTGGATCAGTTATACTGTAATTAATCAAGGTCTAATTGTGTTGGGAAATCCTTAAACATAGTTCTGGGTGGCAGTTTTCATCATTTTGTTTAATTATTATAACTGCAAAATTTGTTGAGGTTTAAACTCCTTTCACATTTCACCATTTTATGTTGGGGAGCTCTTGTTTGACAGTTGGAATAAAAGAGGACTTTTTCTCCTGTTTGTTCCACTAATTTGTTGTTGCAAAATTAGATTCATTTTGCATTTAGGAAAATGGCCACTGTCTTAGGAGGAATCTTGCTCCATATGCAGCAACCTCTTCCCCCACCCGATGCTGTTCTGTGTCTCTGTGCTGAGACGAGTGGGGATTTTTTTTCTCAGGAGACAGTAGCAGTTGAGTTCTATACTTACTGCCATTATGTTTGCTGCCTGGCTGTGCTGTGTAGGTGCTTGAGTGATCATTTCTTGCCAAGAGGGGTCCTGTACAATTTGTCTTATTTCTTATTTGTCTTACTGCAATTAATAAGCACACAGCTCTTTGCTTATGTTTGCATTTTTCTTATTCATGTGCTAGTTCTGTCAGTTGTCATCTTTAAGCAAAAAGATGTTTTCTCTTCTGAACATTTTACCTCATACAATGTAGCCTGCTTCCATAGGTTGAAGTAAATGTATATGGTAAGTTTGATGTTTGCGGGGAAGGAGTAAAAACCAGAAGCAAAATGTATAGAAAATACAGATACTGTGCTCAGGAATTTCCTCTAGAAAACATCTGAAAAGGTTTCTCGTAAATTTTCAGTTATATTGCTTTAGCCTTCCTGTGCTAACCTTCTGTCCTTATGTGGAACAAAGCAGGAAACTTCCTCTAGGAGCTTGGAGTCAGACTGTGGAGAATTAAAAAAATATATATTACAGTTGATTCATATAGGTAGAAGTTACTGTTGTGGTTAGGGTACACTGCCTGAATTTCTTGCTTTTGTTGACATATACCATTTCATTGTTTAAGGATATAAATTACTAGAATAATTTGTGGTAATGCTTTTGTGACGACAAAATAGCACAGCCCTTTTAAAATATTACATTCTAGAATTTTCCTTATACCATTAGACTTTATTATTAATTACTAAGGTTTTGATTTGTCAGAAGGTTATGAACTGCGCTTTGTTCTTATATCTAACTTCTGTAGTGCCAGGGAGAAATTTTTTAATGAATATAAACCATTTCCTCAGTCACAAAGGAGCTATTTTTGTTAGACGTATGTTTACATTAAGGCTATGCTTTTGCAATAGCAGATCTTTTTGTGATCTGCAAAGGATGTAAGCATGGAGCAGCCACCATTATACAGTGATTAAGAAAGATTTATATATCGATAAGTATCTTATGAAACAATGCAATTTTATTATTATCATACATATTACAATTGCTAAAATACAATTAAACTCTTGTTCTCATCTATTATTTAATATTGATGCGTTTGGCAGATATGTCATGAAAATGGCTAATATTTGAAGGATATTGTACTCTACATATTTAATTAGTCTTTCTTTATCTTTGTAAAATGCATCAATATGATATTCAAAGACATCTCAATGATTAATAGAGAATTATACTTGAGTCAAGCCTTTTTGTAACCTAGAAATTAAAATGACTATTCAAATAACACCTCAAAATGATCAAATTAGCATTTTGTGATTGCATAATAATGGGATTGTAGTAGTTATAACGCACCCGGCTGCCTCTAGAGTTAAGATCATGCCAACCCTTGATAATAAAGCCTTCCCAGCAAGTCGACTTTAATAATTTCCAGATTGATTCTTCCCATAAATCATCTGACATTCAGCACTAAATTTTTGTTACTGTTGTAACTTAAAATTATCTTATTTTTATTCAGCTCATATTTAAGAAATGAATGTCCTGTTTTAATGATTCACCATCTTGTCGTTGGCACTGCATGTTTTTGGTTCAAATTAAGGATTTTTCTATGTAGTATTTTGATACACTCACACTTTTTGGAAAAGATTTGTTAAAGCCACTGAAATATGTATTTTCCCCCCCTACAAATATTCACAATGCTTTTCTTGGGAATAACACTTGCCTTATTTACATAATTAACCGAGTTGCTTAGGTCTCTTGGGTAAATTGGCACATAATTGGGGAGAGAAAGGGACAGAGAAGAGTTTAGGGTCTAATTAAATATGCTAAAAAACTACTTAATTATGTATTTCCTCAAGAGACTAGCTGCTGTACAATCCTTCTTAAAATTAAACCAGACTTAGATTTTTAAAACAATTTTGTTTTTGGTGTGTCTTTACAATTGATTTGTAGTTTTGATCATAGTGTCCTTAACAGTTTGTGCAAACTGGATTGTTTGTTCTAATAAGTCTAACCTTAGCATTAGGTAGCTCTTGAGCTAAACAAAAGCAAATATTTTCAGCAATTTTTGGTTCATGTAGCTGGTTAATACATTGTAAAAAATGTTCTTGTAGCTTGTTAGTAACTTTTAAGGCATGAAGTAGAAAAAGGCTGAATTGAGATTTATACTTTGTTGTAGTTTTTTGACAATTTTTTGGTCAGGCTTATTACATTATTTCTTTGACAAACAGATGATGCTATCTTTATTTTAGAGTCTCAGATTATTGTTCAGTGATCATTTGATAAAAGTTGAAGGCAAGGCTGTGAGGTAGTTTCAGGGGATGTTTTGATCAGAGAAGGTAAAATGAGGCACAGCTGTCTGCCTGAACTCTTTGATTATGCTGAGAACAGAACCTCTCAATAGCCTCATTAAAAAAAAAAATTCAGAGATGGAAACTTGAGCCAGTCCTCCTGACTTTACTTGGGCCACCATGCGCTTGTGCCTGGAGCTGCTTCAGGGGGAGGGAGGCAGGATGGACTCTGCAGGTGGGCAGGAGCCGCAGGCACTGCGGGAAGTGCCTGTTTCACCTCTTGTTTCTGATAAGGTCATGTTTTAGGAAGTGTCTCTAACTCTTATCCTTTCATGCCTATCGCTTACTTGAGAAGCTTTTGCTAGTGTGTCATTGCTATTCTGGTCAAACTGAGTTTGCTTATATTATCATTGTCGTTAGACCATCAGAAGTCTAAGTACAAGTTTCCTGTCAGTACTCATACTAAGAAATGGTACTGATTATAAATTGTGTTGTTTTAGTTTTTGCCACCTCTCTGAACATGTTTCTGTACCTCAGGAAAAAGGTAACATCACTAGGCTGATGAGATCATCCCAAATAGTGCTAGAATAAAGCACACTGCATAATGAGACACAGTATGTATGGCTAATAAATTGTCCTGTTCGGTAGTAAAACCTCAGTTATATCCAGACAGCATCCCTTATGCTGTGTTACCAGGCTAGTTTTTTAACCTCATGGAACTTAATGGGGGATCTGGACATACTTTCCCAAAATATGGTACCATGGTATAGTGATGATTATAAGCTGAAAGAATCTCAGAAATGGAGGAACGATTCCCTGACTATCCCGTCTTTAACCCCTGAAGCAGACCACAAGTCCTTCATACTAGGGTAAAAAGCCTCCTTATCTCTGAGGGTAGAGGGACCTGAGAGGAAAGTGAAAGAACAGGCCTTATTAAATTTCCTCAGTTGACTGTGTTTTCCTCTTACCCCGTTCCTATTGTTGGTTTCCAGATGCTTTCCACTCTACATCATACCTCAAATAAAAACACTCAGGTTTAACTGTTTCCTGGAGTCTTAATTTCCTTGAGGGCTCCATGTCATGTGAAATTTATGTTAGATAAATTTGGATACTTCGATTAATCTGTTTCTTGTTAATGAGGCTCCAGCCAAAAATTTAGCAGAGTAGATGGAAAAGATATTTGTTCTCCCCTAGAAGCTCCAATCTTCATGTGTAAACGGAAGCAATCAGAGTACCCTCCTCCTCCTGAGGAGTAAATGAGACAAGGCCTGGTTAGCAGGACACATGGCACATAGGAAATACCCACTTGTGTCTCTTCTAAAAGAGGGGCAGTAGTGATATCTCTTTTGTGCTTTATTAGGTTGTCAGCAGGAGTGAGTGAAAGGAAACTGCTCTTAATAATAGGATTTTAGAATTAGGTCCTTAAATAGACAAGGTGTTAAAAGACAGTTTTGGGTGAAATCAGTCTGTCTGCTGGTAGAAGTTCAGGAACCCAGTGGGATTTTGGCCCTTACTTCAAATAGAAAGATGAAGACAAATAAATTGGGGGCTGAGGAGATGGCTCCATGGAATAAGCGCTTCCCTGGCAAGCACCAAGGGCCTGAGTTCAATCCCTGCTTCTGCCAAAAAAAAAAAAAAAGACAAATAAATTACTTTTTTTTTTAATTTATTTTTGTTTGCTTATTTATTTATTTAGAGACAACATCTTTGTAGTTCAGGCCGGTCTTCTTTTGCTGTCATTTTTAAAATATTTATTTTAAAGAGAAAAATAATAGATAAGACATTAGAAATGATACACAATTTAAAAAAGATAAGCATTCAACAATGATTGTTATATTGCACATTTTTATCTTCATTATAGTTGCTCAAATTACCAGGTATATGCATGTGCAATTGGTCAAAATAAAAATTTTAATTATTAACTGACCCCTTTAGAAAACCAGTAGAAATTAGTGTACAATCATCTTAGCTATCCTGTGTACATACAGGATAATATATTATATGTTATATAATATATAAAAATATATATTATTTTTTCCCCTTTCTTTTTTATCTTTCTTTTCTCCTTTCCCTT